CCGGCTGGGCCCCAGGTGTGCCCCAGCCCTGCCCAGCGTGCCCAGGTGTGCCCCAGCCGTGCCCAGCTGTGCCCAGGGGTGTCCCAGCCATGCCCAGCCATGCCCAGGTGTGCCCCAGCCGTGCCCAACCGTGCCCAGGTGTGTGCCCAGCCATGCCCAGGGGTGTCCCAGCCATGCCCAGCGTGCCCAGGGGTGCCCCAGCTGTGCCCCAGGTGTGTCTCAACCATGCCCAGGGGTGTCCCAGCCATGCCCAGCCATGCCCAGGTGTGCCCCAGCCGTGCCCAGGTGTGCCCCACATGTGCCTCAGGTGTGTCCCAGCTGTGCCCAGCCATGCCCAGCGTGCCCAGGGGTGTCCCAGCTGTGCCCCAGGTGTGTCCCAGCCCTGCCCAGCGTGCCCAGGTGGGTCCCAGCCGTGCCCAGCTGTGCCCAGGGGTGTCCCAGCCATGCCCAGCCATGCCCAGGTGTGCCCCAGCCGTGCCCAACCGTGCCCAGGTGTGTGCCCAGCCATGCCCAGGGGTGTCCCAGCCATGCCCAGCGTGCCCAGGGGTGCCCCAGCTGTGCCCCAGGGGTGTCCCAGCCGTGCCCAGCCGTGCCCAGGTGTGTCCCAGCCGTGCCCAGCCGTGCCCAGGTGTGTCCCAGCCGTGCCCAGCCGTGCCCAGGGGTGTCCCAGCCCCAGCCCTGGCTGTGCCCCGCTGCAGGAGAAGTTGCAGCACTTTGTCACAGTTTGCTCCTGAGAATCCGCGGTCGCTGCTGCCGCGTGCTCGGTGAGGACTGGGCTTCTCTGACTCACAGCTCTCCAGGGACTGAATGTTAATCCCAGTGTTCTTTGCCATTTCCACGTCTCCTGTTGCCTCACTCCACGCTGGTTTTCATTCCCATTTATCTTCTGTTCACGCTCCAAGATCTCTGCCAGCAGCCCTTGGGCTGCCCCTGCCCCCTGTAAGTGCTCCGTGGGAATTGTCACCCTGCCCTGCTAATTTTAAACCATCTGCTTGATTAGCTTTTAATTGTTTCTCCCATTCTGCCTGATTTCTTACTTTGCTGCTGATGTTAGACTACTTCAGGAAAAATGATTTAGACAAAGAACCAAGTAAGTGCCATGCCTGGCCACACCATCCATCACTCCCCGTGCTTCCCCACCATTTGAATAGCAGAGCAGCTTGCACTTTAATCTGCCTCTTGCTGAATGCAAATCACTTCTTGCCTTCCCATCCTTCTCTGTGCTTTCCACGCTTGTGCCATTTCCTTCTGTAAATCATCACTTCTGGTTTCTTCTCATGCCAGGGATCACCACAAAGGTGGGAATTTGTGCCAGGGGCCTTCTGGTGCCCTTCTTGCCTAGTCATTGCACTGGTGGGGTTTGGGAAAAAAATTGCTATTTTGATTCCATCTCTAATGAGCCCCATGGGTTGCTGAAATGTCACCTCCTGGGCATTGTCCTTGTGCACTGTGAGAATTCTGGAGTGGTTGGGCTTGGAGGGACCCTAAATCCCACCCAGTGCCACCCTGCCAGGGCAGGGACACCTTCCCCTGTGCCAGGCTGCTCCAGCCCCAGTGTCCAGCCTGGCCTGGGGCACTGCCAGGGATCCAGGGACAAGGAGATATCTCTACCTCAGCATTCCCAAGCCCACCTTGCTGAGGTCCAGTGCTTTCAGCTACAAACCCCAGACAAACAAAAGCAAACAAAACATTCCTGCATATTCCTCTTTGGGAAGGGACAAAAGTTGGATATCCCAGGGCAGAAGGGATTTTGGGACAGGGCTGAGACCAAGCAGTTCATCTTCCTCTTCCTCCCAGGTGCTGCCTCTGTGCCTGCAGTGCCTCCCCAGCTCTGCGCCCCTGGTGCTCCAGCCCAGCCCCTGCTGGCCCTGCCCAGGACCCCCTCCCCTCTGTGCTGCCATGTCCCTCTGACCCCACTCCTGGCCCCCTCCCAGAGCAGCCCCAGCCCCTCCCCAGCCCCTGCCTTGGGCACCGCCTGCCCCAGCTGGGCACATTCACCTGGCCAAGCTGCACCAGCCCACTCTTGCGGGTGAAAACCAGGAATGCTGAGAGCCCTGGGGATGGGCTGGGAGCGCCTCAGGAGGAGCTGGCTGCAGCCTCTCTGGAGCTGATCCCAGAGCCCCTTGCAGGATGAACCCAGCACGGCTGGAAGGCACCAGGTCAGATCTCCCTGCAGGCACAGCGTGCCCTTGGTTCGGCACAGGAGCAGATCCCAGCGCCCTCTGAGGGACAGGGAGCTGGGCACCCGCTGGACACAGAGCAGAGCAGAGCAGAGCCCACCCTGACAGACACCAGGGGCTGCCCCGGGCAGATCCCCTCCGCCCCAGCAGCTCTGCCTCCGGAGCTGCTTGGGTTTGCCTGGGCAGGCAGGCAAACCTCACCCCCACACGGGCTAGAAACGTTTCTAAGCCCTGGCCAGCTGTGGGCTCCACCTCCAAATTTTGGAGGCAAGAGAGTGTATTTAGGGCAATTCGATTAAATGCATCATATTTGAGTGAGAGAGGGAAAGTGCTTCTCTGTTTCATGTAAAGGCAAGGGATTACTGGTCAGCTGTGGCAGAGGCTACATCATTACAGCATTTTAAATAAAAACGTGCCACAAAAGCTTCTGGAAATAGCTGCTCTGATCTAAAAACTCCTGAAAATATTTGAAGTCCTACAAAGCTCTGCAGCCTGGCCCTGGCCTGGCCCAGGCAGCCCTGGCCTTGCCCACGGGCAGGGTGGGAGACAGAGTTTGCCATGAGATCCTCCCACTGAGTCCTGAGCAGCAGAAGGACCCCCAAACACTCCCCAGAGACCCCCAAACCACCACCCACCCCAGCTGGGCCCCATGGCTCCTGAGCTGCTCCCCAGAGGTGAGGCTGGGTCCCAGCCCAGCCCCAGAGCTGCTCAATGGCTCTGTGCAAAGCTTTGCACAGCTCTGACTGAGCCTGCACCTGACCTAATCCTCTAGGACTGAGGCTGGGAACCCAAATAAAGATATCTATATAAATAAATGATTCCTTATGAAAATGAATAGACTAAGAGATCAATCAGCATTATTTACTGCCCAGCACAGGTAGCTACAATACCAGTCTGAAACAAGACTGAGGCAATTCTGTTAAAGGCAGCAAACCCCATTATGGAGCAGAGGTTGATGCCCCTCGCCCAGACCAGGGCAAATCTCTTTGGCCCAGCCTTGAGAAGTGACCTTGAGGGGCATCCCCAGGAGGCACTTTCCCCAGGAGGAAAAGGGGGTGGTGGAAGGTGCCAGGTTAAAAACCTGGGACTGGGCTTTTCCAGGATGAAGGCCCTGGCGTGGCAGCCAGGTGTCTGTGGGCTGTGCCAGCTCAGCAGCTTCAGGGAAGGCTCAGTGGTGTCACCTGGGGGTCCTTCCCCTGCTCTGCCACACCTTCACCTCACTCGGTGTGGAGCTGTGAGCTTGAGGAGCAGGCTGGTTTCTGCTTTATCCAGCCCAGAAGCAGCAGGGCCCCTCTCCCTCCAGGCAGGGCACCAGCTCTTCACCCCCTGTGATTCCCTGCAGGACACTGATGGAGTTCTGCTGCAGTTTCTGCCTCACAGGAAGAAAAACCCCAGACAAGCAGAGCAGCAAGCCTTGCCCAGGTCCTGCAGGTCTGGGAACCTTCACCTGAGCCAGGGCAGGTGTGGGCAGGGCTGAGCCAGCTCACCTGGGCTGCAGCCTGGCACAGGGAGGGTCCTGCCCACAGCCCCTGGCAGGGACACAGCAGGGACAGCTCTGCTGCTCTGCCCCGGCCCTGGGGCACAGCCAGCCCCTGGAGCTGCTGAGAGAGCCCAGAGAGCCCCGGGGCTGGAGCCAGGCTGGGAGAGCTGGGGGGCTCACCTGGAGAGGAGAAGCTCCAGGGAGAGCTCAGAGCCCCTGGCAGGGCCTGAAGGGGCTCCAGGAGAGCTGCAGAGGGACTGGGGACAAGGCCTGCAGGGACAGGAGCCAGGGAATGGCTGCCAGTGCCAGAGGGCAGGGCTGGATGGGATCTGGGCAATGAGGAATTGTTCCCTGGCAGGGTGGGCAGGGGCTGGGATGGAATTCCCAGAGCAGCTGGGGCTGCCCCTGGATCCCTGGCAGTGCCCAAGGCCAGGCTGGACACTGGGGCTGGAGCAGCCTGGCACAGGGGAAGGTGTCCCTGCCATGGCACGAGAGTGGAAAGAAATGAGATTTGACATCTCTTCCAATCCAAACCATTTATAATTTTATGATCCTTCCTCCCCCCAGGCCAACTCCTCCATTTCCAGGCCCCACACCCACCAGCACCCCAGGACACTGCCCCTCCTCAGGATCATCCCACATCAGGACAACAAGGCTGATCCAGAGCCAGACTTTATTATCCCAGCCACCGCTCAGGGAGTCACAGCAGCCCAAAGCGCCTGGCACCAGAGCTCAGCCAGCCAGCCCACGGCCAGAGGAGGGAACAGATGTGCAGCAGCTCCCACACCCGAGCAGAGACTCACGGCTTGTCCCCCAGGGCAGAGCCAAGGAAATCCCTGTTCTGGTCAGCAGCCAGGAGCTGCTACCACGGTCCAACAACACAGCTGGTGCTGAGCACCAGGACAGGCAGGCTGAGCTGCTTGTGCCGGTTCCTCCAGAGGGGTCAGAGGGACCCCCCGGGCCGCAGCCCCTCGGGGGGCAGCAGCAGGGCCAGGGCCAGCAGCAGCAGCAGCAGGGCGCGGGGCAGGGCGCGCGCGGCGCGGTCGCTCTGCGGAGCCGCGGTGTGGGCCGGCGAGGATCTCCTCCTCCACGCGTAGTACTCGGCCACGGCCACGTTGGGGTTGCCCTGGGCAGGGTCGAACCACATCTGGATGCAGCGGCCGCTGCCCCGCGGCTCGGGGCTGTAGCTGAAGGAGCCGGACCAGATCTTCTCGCACAGGTCCCGGGCCCGGGGGAACACCTGCCTGAAGGGCCTGCACGCGGAGCCCCAGGGACAGCGGTTGGTTCCTGGGGACACGCACCCAGTGAGAGCACGGCCCTTCCCCGGCAGGGCCAGCTCACCTGCCCACGGCCACACCCGAGCCGGGCACTGGGGCTCGGCCAGCTGCCCGGCCACCCCGAGAGGGGACAGGGCTCCTGGCAGCAGCGGCACCGCCAGGGACCTGCCCGGGCCGTGAGGAAAGGCCCGCAGAGCCCACCCACCTGTGGCCCAGTTCCAGCCCTGGTGCCAGTTCTCCTTGCAGGTGAGGGCGTCCTTGCAGTCCTGCCACCACTGCTCGCAGTCCTCCCTGCACAGGGGCACGTGCAGGATCCTCTCCCGACGCCAGCTGCTGTCGGCCTGCAGGACACGGCGCCGCTCACGCGGGGCAGGGCCCCTGCGGGTCAAGGGCAGGGTCTGCCCCATCCCAGCTCCCCCCAGCCCCTCCGGGGGCCACAGCTGGTCCCAGAGGAGCCTCAGCCCCAGCACGGATGGGTCATGAAGAATTCCTTATTCTTCCATCAGTCAGAGGCCCGAAAAGTGATTGGAATCTTTCTACCCTGTGGGAAAAGCTGAGACAGCCTAGGTATTGAAGAGAAATCCTTCCCTGGCAGGGTGGCAGGCCCTGGCACAGGGTGCCCAGAGCAGCTGGGGCTGCCCCTGGATCCCTGGCAGTGCCCAAGGCCAGGCTGGACACTGGGGCTGGAGCAGCCTGGCACAGGGGAAGGTGTCCCTGCCATGGCAGGGTGGCACAGGACGAGTTTTAATGTCCCTCCCGACCCAAAGAGCTCCACGATTCCCTGCTCTGAGCCCACCTGCTCGATCCAGGGCCCCAGGTTGGGTGAGCACTCGTACAGGCACGTGTCCTGGATGAAGTGGCGCTTGCACTTGGGTGGCATCACCCCGCAGTGGTTCCAGTTGAAGTTGTAGAGGTAGGACTGGTCCTTGTGGGCCTCCAGGCTGGTGTTGGCCGTGCAGCAGGCGTTGTCCTTCCAGGGGGAGCACTGCAACACAGAGGGGACAGGCAGCAGCTCCGGGGGCACAGCCCACAGCCAGCACAGCACTTTGTCTTCTCCAGCAAACTCTGGTCACTTCGGCCTCAGGAGTGGGCTCTGCAGCAAGGCAGAGCTGGGGGAGCAGGAGATCAGCTCTGAGCAGCAATTGTGCCAGCCCAAGGGACAGAAACAAACCCCCTTCCTCCACTGAGGGGCTGGGGCAGAGCAAGGAGGGTGTTCCACACTGAGGGAGCAGAGGACAGCCTTCCTCCCCTTCCTCCTCTTCCTCCCCTTCCTTCCTCCCCATCCTCCCTCCACATCCTCTCCTTCCTCCCCTTCTTCCCCCTCCTCCCCTTACTTCCCTTCCTCCTCTTCCTCCCCTTCCTTCCTCCCCATCCTCCCCTTCCTCCTCCTCCTCTCCCTGCTGTGCTCTGGGGTACCGAGCTCAGGGGGGATAAAGAGGGTGGCACTGAGCTGGCAGACCCCCAGTGCCCCTGCCCGTACCCGGCCACCAGCTGAAGGAGGCAGCACACACTCGGATCTCAGAGCCAGCCCGGCTCCAGCCCCGGGCGAGGCTGCCCGAGCCCCCAGCAGCCCCGGTGTGCAGGTACCCGGCCAGGTGTGCCAGGTGTGCCAGGCAGGTGTGCCAGCCGGGTGTGCCAGGCAGGTGTGCCAGCCGGGTGTGCCAGCCGGGTGTGCCAGCCAGGTGTGCCAACTGGGTGTGCCAGGCAGGTGTGCCAGGCGGGTGTGCCAGCCGGGTGTGCCAGCCCCTACCTGCTCGGAGCAGGTACCCGGCCGGGTGTGCCAGCCCAGTGTGCCAGCCCAGGTGTGCCAGCCCAGCCCAGCCCAGCCCTACCTGCTCGTAGAGCTTGCCCTCGGGGCCCGGCTGGCTCTTGTGGTGTTTGGCATCCATGCAGATGTTCAGCAGCGGGTCCTTCCCCGCCTCGGCAGCCAGCGGCACCAGAGCCACCGCCAGAGCCACCGCCAGCGCCACTGCCATCCCGGGAACCGGCTGGGAGAGAGGGGACAGAGAGGGGACAGCGCTGGGAGAGAGGGGACAGAGAGGGGACAGCGCTGGGAGAGAGGGGACAGAGAGGGGACAGCGCTGGGAGAGAGGGGACAGAGAGGGGACAGCGCTGGGAGAGAGGGGACAGAGAGGGGACAGCGCTGGGAGAGAGGGGACAGAGAGGGGACAGCGCTGGGAGAGGGGACAGAGAGAGGAAAGAGCTGGGCAGAGACAGGACAGAGATGGGCAGAGGGGACAGCCCAGCAGAGGGGACAGCCCAGGAGAGGGGACAGGGCTGGACAGAGGCGAGGGAGGTGCTGTGAGCCGGGCACTCCCCACAGCTGGCAGCTCCTCCAGGAGCAATAACACAACACATCCTGATGGCACCAAGGACACGGGGCAGCCCCCAGCAGGCTGCAAGGCCAGGCACCGCTATCAGCAGGACAGAGGGGACAGGGCTGGGCAGAGGGGACAGCCCAGGAGAGGGGACAGGGCTGGACAGAGGGGACAGGGCTGGGCAGAGGGGACAGCCCAGGAGAGGGGACAGGGCTGGACAGAGGGGACAGGGCTGGGCAGAGGGGACAGCCCAGGAGAGGGGACAGGGCTGGGCAGGGGGGACAGTCCAGGAGAGGGGACAGGGCTGGGCAGAGGGGACAGGGCTGGGCAGAGGGGACAGCCCAGGAGAGGGGACAGGGCTGGGCAGAGGGGACAGGGCTGGGCAGAGGGGACAGGGCTGGGCAGAGGGGACAGCCCAGGAGAGGGGACAGGGCTGGGCAGCAGCGAGGGAGGTGCTGTGAGCCGGGCACTCCCCACAGCTGGCAGCTCCTCCAGGAGCAATAACACAACACATCCTGATGGCACCAAGGACACGGGGCAGCCCCCAGCAGGCTGCAAGGCCAGGCACCGCTATCAGCAGGACAAACAGCCCGGAGAGCTCGGGATGAGGAGGGGAGCTCTGGGACACCCGCTCCCTGCGGGGTCCTTCTGCCACCCCACTGCCCAGAGAGAAGCTGCCAGCCCCAGACCTCGTGCAGGGGGAGTCCGGGGATGTCTCTCCTGAGCGTTCAGAGGGGCAGGGAATGCACCAGACACAGCACCTGGTGAGGGCCAGGAGCTGCAGGAGGCCCATGGTGACTTCAGGACTATGCTAAGACAGGAAAACATTTTATTTATCTGCATCTGAGACTTGGAAACCCGCTCCTGAGGTCTCCAGTGGAGAGCTGAATCATCAAAGAATCACAGAAGGCTGGAAGGAATCTTAAAGCCCATCTCATTCCACCCCTGCCATGGGCAGGGTCACCTCCCACCATCCCAGGGTGCTCCAGCCTGGTCTCATTTCAGCAATTAAAGACATTTCACACATCGTGCCTTGGCCTCCTCTGCCTGCCTAGGGGCTGCGACAAATTTTATAGTCATTTCCTAAAAAAAACCAAAAACCAACCCCAAACCAATCAGCCAACATCAAGCCTTAACCAAGAAAATTCCTTCCTATTCCTTGTTGACACAGCACAAAGGCCTGAACCAGACACATTGTAAAAAGAATTTTGCAAACCACAGAAGCAAGACAGAGCATTTACAGCATTAAAATAGCACAAAATACCCCAGAAAAAGCAGCTACAGGCCTGAGGAGACAGACACAGAAACCTTAGATCTAGGAAGTTGCTAACTTCCATAATAATTACATTTATGCCCCCAAATCAGTGTCAACCTTTCCAGCCCGGAAAGCCTGTACCCTCTCTCCAGCACTCACAAGCAGCTCAGCAGCTTCCTGGGGCAGCTTTAAGGGCAAGCTGCTGGCACAGGTGCTGGCCCTGAGGAGGAACTTCCCCCTCTCTTCAGGGAGCTGCGGCTCGTGCCAGTGTTTGGCAGCACAGGGGACAATGTTTGGGTGACAGCCTGGGAGAAATCCAGTGTTTCCTTCCCAGAGCAGGTGTGTGCTCAGCCTGGCCCTTCCCCACAAGCCGTCCTTCGTCCCCTCGCTGGGATCTGCCCTTTGCACGAGGCAGAGAGCCCAGGAGGGGCTGACCCAGGGCTGACCCAGTGGAACAAGTCGTGGAATAAATGCAAAAGGCAGCAAATGACACACAGGCTGCTGCCTCAGAATGAAAATAACAACTCCCACCACAAACCCGAAGTGCAGGTGCTGAGGGGGAGCAATGCATCTCCTTGGAACACCTGAGCACATCCACCGGTGCTGAGAGCTTCACCAGAGCCCGTGGAAAGCTGTGCCCTCAGCAGAGTCTTCCTCCTGGAGCAGCTCTGGGGGCTGATTTGCTCTTTTCTTCACTCACATCACTGCTGTCTCTGTGATGAATCACTTGCCTGAGGAGCCAATCCTTCTAAATTCCATGTGTGAGCACTTTAGGCTGTGGGAGACCCTGCTCTGGCAATCACAGAATCCCTGAGGCTGGAAGAGACCTCCCCACCTTGTCCCCAGCCCAGAGCACTCAGTGCCACCCCCAGGGGACACCTGCAGGGATGGGCACTGCAAAGCTCCCTGGGCAGCCCCTGCCGAGGCCTGAGCACCCTTTCCATGGGTAAATTCCTGCTGCTGTCCCAGCTGAGCCTGCCCTGGGACCAATCCCTCTGCTCCTGTCCCTGTTCCCTGGAGCAGAGCCCAAAGCTGTCCCCTCCTGGCAGGTAGAAAACAGCTTTGTGCTTGTGCCCCCTCACACTGGAGATGTCCCTGAGCAGATCTCCCCCACCCCTGCTGCCTCCACCAGCAGAGTTTTGCCCCTCGAGGCTCAGGATTGTGGCAGTTTCAGACGCCCTGCACCGTCCTGGCCACGTTTCCTGCTCCTTGCCAGGGAATTTCTAATATCTGGTTTGTTTTTGGAACTGCTGATCACTGAACTGTGTTGTAACATTGTCAGAGCAGTGACAGCTTGTTCCTGAGAGATAATTGTCAGCCACCAGCCTGTCATCTTCCATCTGACGTGTTCTCCCCAGTGCATCACTGTGTGTTCATCTCAGCAGCTTTTCCTTTGAAATCTGTTGTTCTATTGTTCCGTGACTCAGCCGTGCCAGGTGTCACATCCCACTCTTGTGTAGAAGGGAGCACCCAGGAGCCATAGGTGCCCATGGTCACAAAGGAATGGCAAAAGCCAGAAGGGTCCCAAAAACAAAGCTCACCAGGTTTTATTGGCCAGCTCCACACTTGGTGTGAAAATGGATGCATGCTTTGCCCCTACGTTGTAATTGTCAGAGAAATAAAAGAGTGAAATGAAAGAGGGAGGCAGGAAAGTGTGAAAGAGAGATTGGGTAGGAAAGGAGATCACCAGTCCTGGCTCCAGCACTGATCCAAGCAGGGCGGTCCTGGGGCCCTGCCCGGGTGTGGGGACACTTTTTGTAGGAAAGATTCCCCACCCTGGCACCCAGCTTCCTGCTCTTCGTGTGAGCACGCGCAGTCTGCTCTTCTGGGCCTTTCTGGAAACGGCTCCAGGGGCTCTGGGGGCCTCTTGGTGGATCCCTCTCTGCTGGATCTCTCTCAGTCAGCAGCTGATGCCCCTCCTGGCCCCAGTGCTGTCCTTTGTCTTGTTTGGTCACCAGGGACCAGCACAGGGAAGTTTGCCCCAGGACGGGGCTGCCCCAGGAGGGCACTGCCCCTTCCTGGACACATCCTGCCCTAATCCTGGCTTAACCTCCTTGCTCCAGTGGACATCAGGAATGTGAGGCACAGCAATGCTTTTACTCCTTCCTGCCCAGGATTCTGCACCAGGGACCTTTTCAGATTTTTACAGCTGGTCCTGGAGCCATTTGGTGTCGTCACACGCTTCGTTGACTTGATGTTTGCCCAGACATCATTTGCTGAAAAGCAGAAATCATAGAATCAAAGGAGTGTTTGGTTGGGAGGGACATTAAAGCTCATCCAGTTCCAGCTCCTGCATGGGCATGGACAGCTTCCACTATCCCAGTTTGCTCCCAGCCCTGTCAGCCTGGCCCGGAACACTCCCATGGATGGAGCTTGTCCATTTACCTGTGGTTCAGCCCTGAGTTACATTTCCTGTGACCTTTCCCTGCACAGACACTGTGTTCACAGGTGTGCAGATCCCCTCATCTCTCCAAGAAACTTTCCAGGTTGTCCCATGTGAATGCCCAGACCTTGTCCTTGTGCATGGGATGATGCAGAACATAGGGAATGTCTCCCTGTTGTCCTGCCTGTATCCCTGCACACACCCTTTACCTAAATATGCTGCATTTTCCCACACCAGACACTCATTCTTTGCTCTCTTTGTCCCTCCAAGTCACTTTTGTCCCTCTCTGAGTTTGCATTTCCTTAAGTGAGCGCTCCAGAGCTGTTTGTAGCCACGGGGTCTCCAGCAGCAGCCGTGCCCATCCCTCACTGCCTGGTGCCCCTCTGCTGGAGGCCCTGCCGTCGTGGTGGGCATTTCCCTGCACTACCTCAGTGTGTTGGAGCCTTGAATCTCTGCCCTGAGCACAGAGTTCTGCTGCTGTCCGTGTCCCATCAAAGGCACGTTTGCACCAGGCAGTGAGGAGCAAAGAGCCATCATCCCAAGGAAAGCTGGTGAAAACAAACCCACAGGACAAGTCCACAGGGCAAAGCTGGCACGGCTCAGTTCCCTGAGACCTTGCAAATTCAGTACAAAGCCCACGGCCAGCAGTGGCCATGCTCTGGGCTGTGGGTGCAGGACCTGGGTCACAGCTCTCAGCCAGGCTGGGCACAGAACCACGGAAAGACGGAAGGGCGGCGAGTTAGGAGGGGTCTTGGGCCTTCAAAGAGACAGGAGCAGTTGTTGGTTGGTGTAAGGTTGTTTACTTCATTAATACATCAGCCTCGAAGGCAAAGAGCTCAGAGTATTAAAGTGCATGCTAAAAAAAGCTAAAAGCTTTCTGGCACAGAATCCTAATGTTTAGAAGCAGCAGCAGCAGCAGAAGCTACTGCTACCTCTTTTGCATCCCAGCACAGGGGGATTTTATTCATAAATCATATAATCAGCTAAAAACACGATCCTAAAACATTCTTCCTACACCTATCCTGGCTTAATTCTAGTGTGTGAAAGCAGTGTCAGTTCTTACCCAGAACCTACACACAGAGTTCTATCTGTTCACACAAATGGTTCTATCTGGTCACACAAATGGTTCTATCTCTTCTATCTATCCTGGCAAGCAATGTTCTGCTATGTTTTCCTTATGTCTGGAGCTAAGTTAATTTTGTGCAAGGTATCACTACTGAACTTCAAACTAGGCTTTAGGGTATTTTACTGCTACCACAGTCTCTTAAGATATATTTCTACTTACTTAAAACCAAAACTTGCACTCCTGCTTCATGTCTGTGAGGCTTAATATATTTCAGTTTCTCTGAAGGTTCTAGTTCAATCCCTGCATTTCTTTCTGTCTCTGAGGGACTCAGAGAGGCTTTTATTTCATGTTTTCTAACAGAAGGGTTTGGGTTGGGAGGGACCTTAAAACCCATCGGGTTCCACCCCTGCCACAGGCAGGGACACCTTCCACTAGAAGAAAATAAAGCTCCAGAGAAGAAAGACATCTGTTCAGTCTCTGTGTCAGAGGGACTCCCAGCTGGCAGGGGGAGGGTGTTTCCCTGAGGATTTTGGTGGTGGCAGTTCCCGTGGGAGGCTGAAAGCCTCAAGGCTGCCGGAGGGGCTGAGGGTGGCACTGCAGCCTGGGACAGCTGGGCACTGATCACTCCCTGCCATGGAAACGCGTCCTGGGCTCGAGATGGGAGGCTGCTTGGAAAGTCAATCCCGCAGAATTCAAACACCCAGCTGAGTCACAGCAGCTCCTTGCTATCATTAACCAATCTGAGCAGGAATAAACCAGTGCCTGAGGACAGACTGTGCTGTGGCTTTGGGCCTGAGCAGACCCGTGCCACAGATTTTGGGTTCAATTTCATTACAATCGGTGCTTTTATTCCAGATGAGGACTACCTGACCAGACAGGAGAACTGGAGAAGGGCCTGGGTGGTGGTGGGTGCCAGTGAGCCCAGGTCACCAGGAGACCTTGCAGGAAGGTGCTGATCCCTGGCAGTGGGGCTCTCAGGCTGGGCAGGGCTGGGCACACCGGGCAGGGCTGGGCACAGCGGGCAGGGCTGGGCAGGGCTGGGCAGGCTCTGGGACACGGCTGGGTGTCCCAGTCCAGCACAGTGATGGGCTGCAGGTGCTGCACGGGCTGGGGGGGTTATTTCCAATCCCCCTGCTTTTCCACAAACCAATCAGCAATGCTTTAGCGTGCACTACCATTGTGATAACAATTTTGAGATTTAATGTTAAAAAAAGTTCTCACTGGCCTGCCACTGCACAGATTCTCATTCCACTCAATTAAAACTTCTATATTTACTGTATAGAATGATGCCCCAGGCTACTTTCACCATCAAGGAAATTACCAGAAACCACAGGGAATATAGCAACAGATCCCCATTTTTTAAGAGAAACCTCCAAAGAAACCAAACAAGCTTAATAAATAGTAGCACCCACCATCTCCCCATGTAGAAATCTTGGCAGGGAAAATGCCCAGAAAAGGCCGAGGTGTTCTTTCAGAACTCATATACTTGACAAGATATTCAATACTTGACAAGATGTATTCCATGCACAATTTCTCCACCACTGAGGAGCAGGGCCTTGAACACCTGCACCTCCCACACCTGTGCTGAGCTAATCCCCAGTATTGCAGTAATCAGCCTCACAGATTCACAAATTAGTGAAAAATTATTCTCCCACTGCTGACAGTCTCATGGCCAACATCTGCTTCTAGTCCCATTGTCACGACTCCAGTTGTGTACAGAGCAAAAATCGGGTCAGTCCTGCACCACCAGAAAGCTGCAGGAAGCCAAATGTGACCCCACAGTCATGGCATGAGCTGGGCTGGAGCTGGGGGCCTGTGCTGGTGGCTCACAGGGGTGGTGGGGCCACACAGCTCAGAACGACAGCAGAAATTATGTTAAAATTGAAGGGCAAGCTCATCACCTGGTGCCAGCTGGAATCACTGCACAGACATGGGTGACAAAATTCCACCTGAGAGTTGTGAATTCTCACAATGATCAGAGCCTCAGGCTGGGCCAGGGCAGGCTCAGCTGGGACAGCAGCAGGAATTTGCCCATGGAAAGGGTGCTCAGGCCTTGGCAGGGGCTGCCCAGGGAGCTTTGCAGTGCCCATCCCTGCAGGTGTCCCCTGGGGGTGGCACGGAGTGCTCTGGGCTGGGGACAAGGTGGCCATGGGGCACAGCTGGCACTGCCTGGGCTGGGAGGGCTGTGCCAGCACCAGGGATTTGGGGATTCTATTCTACAATTCTCTGATTCTGTGGTCTTTAGGGTCCCTTCCAATCCAAAGCATTCCATGAATCCATGGCTCTGTGTATGCCATTTTTATGGTCAGATGTGGAGTTGTGCTTTGCACACTTTGTGGGGTTAATTTGGAGAAATGCCCATACCCTGAGTGATGTCACTGCATAAATATTTGAACCAAACACAATTTCCTCTATTGATTTCCCTCTCACAAAAAGGTCTAATGGAGAACGAGGCTGTGCCTG